AGATATTTTCAAGAGCTAGTTGAGGACTTGGATCCATCCCAGTGTGCATAGTGTGAGTCAGAATAAAGATTTCACAACTCTTTGGTTAATATAGACCTTACTGGATTACCAGAAAGGCACCCTAAAGGAATAAATGTGCTTTAATTGTCTTTATATGGCCCTACACACAGCTGAATTCTCAAATAAGTCTGGCTGTAGATTTTGGCTGAGGAATTCAACCACTGATTGAATACGGCTAAAACTAGAAGGATGTATGATTCTGAGTTACTCTAGTCACACTGTCATACCGGCAGGCTCCGAGGAAACAGCTCTGCTCATGTTTCTACACGTTCCTCTGACTTGGTTGATGGTTTCTCTGACTTGACTGGTTAACATGGTACTTCATCCGTTGTTGTGCAAATCTGCTTTTCACAAAAGCAACGAATGAAATATGCTGAACCAATACTCACTGCAGCATTAGGATCTATGGTTTGCTTCCTCTTAAAAAAATCAGCCAAATTACCCATTTAAATTATGACTGCTATTCCATTGAAGACTTGTGACTTTGTTAAAATAACATTTAATAGGCAGAACCCCCAAGATGGTGAAGGGTGGGTTCAACAAAAGACCACAGGGAAACTGAAATAGAACTGAAATAGAGCAGATTATTACTCCCAGGTCTTAGAGGAGATACACAGCCTGCCTTGAGCGGTCACATGGGGTGGTCAAGGTAGGGGACAGACAGAGAGTGAGTAGCAGTACCTGGGCACATGCCTTTATTCAAGCCCACAGGTTAAGGGCTCTGGGGTTCCTAGGTTAAGCTGAGATTGGTCAATTCAAACCAAGAAAAGTGGGGTTTTGGTCATCTCCAAGGGAGTCTTATCTAAGTGGCACAAGGAGAAGGAACGGGGGGCAGAAGATGCTGTTACCACAATGGGCACTGGGGGACTCCTATCAGGAACTTACATTTAGTTGTGACTCTGTGGGTTGTTTCCAGAACATGCATTCGTGGGAGAGGCCAGTGTCAGTTCAAGGTCCCGGCAGGCCACTAGCCACACAAAATGGATACTGAGGCAGCAGTATTATGGAGTAGGTTAACTAAACTCTCAACAGGACTATAGTAAGTTTTGCTATTTTCTGTACTTGTGCTTTTAAAATCGCTCATTAAGGGCACAGATGTCTAGCTCTTGATTCAAACTCATGCAGTGTGGGAAGCAGATTCATGAACAGAGACATGGTGACTGGGAACCATAATAAATATCCCTCTGCAGGGAAAAATGGAGGTGGAAGGAAGAGTTCTCCACAACAATTACTCTTATAAAAACCCTGCTTCTACGTGTCCTTGGTCCAAGACAGTAATTTTAGACTAGAAAAGGATGGCTATCCAGTTATTGCTGGATGGGTGTATCAATGTAAAAAGCTAAGGTATCACTTTGTCCTCCACACTGTGTGCCCTGTGTGAGTTAAGGGAGAGATTTCGTATAGGGGTCAGGGCCTCCTTGAGATCTTGGCTCAACTTCATTTTTTTGCTACAATATCCAGCCAAGTCCTTGTGTTTTACTATTATTTTGGAATTCAGGATAAAAGAACACATTGTAGACCTACAAGGAAATATTTGTGTCCCTTTGGTTTGTCACAGACAGTGCAGTCCTGATCATTTTACACTAAAGGGTATAACAGTCCCCCACTTTAAAATGAGTTTATTTACAATTGGGAATATAGTAAGATTTTTAAAACAACATTTATGGAATGAATAAGTGATATATAAATGTCTCACTTTGTCATTTTGTCTCATTTGTCAATCACACATAAAAATGATTTTCAACTTATGTCACTAAACTTTACTCTGTTTCACTCAGTTGCTCTAGTTGAACAGTTCTTGATAATTTTATACATTAGATGAGCTTGTGATGCTTTTAAAAATTTTAGACTGACCCTGGATATTCTAAAATAAGGCTTTAGAGTAGAACCTAGGCTTTTTGTGCTTTAAAAAAATCTCCCCCAGGTTTTTCTGATATATAAACTCTTTGTCAGGAACTTGGCTAATGTAAGATAATTTGATTTTAATCAAACAAATGACATTAGTGTCCCAGAATGCATTGGCTTTTCTTAAACAAATTATGAAATGCTCACATTTCTGCCCATCAGTTTCCCTCCGTCTAGAAAGCCCTGATATGCTAATTAACTCATAATCATTTTTCATGAAATTAAATTTTTTTCTTATCATCCCTCTCACCCCCATCAGCAGGCAGAGTCAAGCACTTACTGTAATGGAAAGATCAGAAGCTTATTAAACACAGTGATTTGAACTCACATATTAGCATCTGTTCTTTCTCAAAATCTCACTGAGAGAACTATCAAGATATTTTTATAGGTATAAATCCACCAGAACAAAGAAAAGGGAAAGAAGTAAACATTAGGAAGAAGACAATGCAATTTCGAATGCTGGAATGTAGACTGATGAGTGACAGCTGACTTAGAAGAAAGGGCAAAGCTGACCCCCAGGAGTTTTTAAGGAAGGTGGGTACAGGAGCCTCAGAGCAAGCCTATGGTTCTTCAGGACCCTGGGTAGCTCAAGACTGGGAAGCAGCGAGAACTTTTACCCTCGATTTGGGTTGAGCGAGGGGCAGGAAACAAGTGCACTGGTTAAGAATTTGTATTAGAAAGTTACTAGGCACCTAGAACCTCTCTCCAACTCCCTTCAGCCAGGTAACTACACCTCTTTCTCCCTGGTGGCTGGGGGTTTAATGTCTGGAAAGCTTTAACTAAAGTGTCTTTGAACATGACAATGCTGGCCATTGAAACAAAAACAAATAAATTAAATAAAATCCACATATTAAAAGGTGAAACAACAGTTTTCAGCCTGAAAACAGCTAGGCTGATACTGCCTACCAGAGCTTGGAGGATTCTCTGCAGATTCTGTCAGCTACTGAAAAAGACTAACAAGACTGCACACTGGGTTACCATCTCTCATAGCCAATCAACCACTCCAAATTACAGTTGAAGTGCATTTAACACGTATTTACTGAATTCCTTCTATGTGCACAGCACTGTTCAACATGCTGGGAGTAAATGAATATCTATACTGAGATGATAGATAGATAGATAGATAGATAGTGTATAGGTGTAATGTATATTTAAAAATCCCTGCCCTCATGGCACTTTTATTCTAGTTCCACGAGAGAGAATAATAAAAAGTAATAAAGTTCTCTTCTCTTACCTAATCATCTCACTCATTAAACTGTGGCCAGCTAACTTGTCAGTTTGCAAGTAGGATGAAATATCAGAGCTTTGGCAGTTCTTGACTCCTGGCAGATGTTACCTTCCCTGCTATACCAAGACTAAACCAACAGAGCCTAGATTTATACAGACAGAGGGAACACATTTAATTAAAACTCCTTAGAGTTTATTGATATAGTTGTCAGAATCATCACTCCAAATGCATCCCTTTCTAATAGCTCTGAATCTATATAAACTGGCTATTAGAGTAGCAACCATACACACTGGTAGCTTTTACAGAGCACAAACTATACAATTTTGAAACTACAGTAACCTCACAAAAGTTACCACCTGCGGGTCTAGATTTTACTCTGTAAGGCCAGCTGCACCTGGGTGATTGAGTCCC